AATTGAACCTTTGTTTTCTTGTCTCCCGGAGATCCATTATAATATTCAAACCAGTATTTGAACAACCCCCCCAACATATAAAGGTTCTATCAAAAATATGTTGGATTTTAATCCTCCACAAATTTCATGATCATATTGATTGCTACTTCTAATTTAGTCTTTTTTTGTCTTATCAAAGGGTATATACAGGAATTCATTTATTGAAATTAATACATTTAAATACCTTTAACAACCTTACACATGTCTTTGAATATTTCTTAAAAATACTGTTTTTGTTTCAAGGCACATATAGGTTGACCACTTATGCACACTGACTGATGTCCTTACTGTCACAGATCCTTCTCACAGGTAAAGATATCTATCGTAGACCAGATGAATTATTGTAATATACGGAGGTATGTATTTCACACAAATAGGGGATGAAAAAACACAACTGAGCAGTCATAAAAACTACTTTGTCAGACCATATTTATTACTTTTTAATGGCCTTGACTGTTGTGTATTTTATTTTATTACCTTATACCTTTTACATCCCTCGGGACACTGTGTAGGTGTACAAAGTTAACCTTTAAAACTTCTAGATAATGAGACTGAACGGTTTTTGAATTTTAATAATTCATACTCGCCATCTCCCCCTTCATCGGGGATCGGGTTGTGGGGGCAGCAGTCTGAGGAGAGACTCCCAGACTTTGCTACCTGACTTCAGATGACACCGTTTCAACCCACCTCCATCCCCTCCACCACCATCGTAACCAAAGCTCCATCAGAGTTTCATTCCTGCTGGACTCTTACTGCATGCAGTCCCACAAAGACCATGTTGAGCCTGAGGTTTCTTCCTCAAGGGTCTTGCTCAGGGAGCACGAGTAACAGTCTGCACGAGTGGGGGATCAAACTCATAACCTCAGGATTCAAAGCCCTATGCCCTAACCACTACACCATTATTCCCCGCTGTCGCTTCATGCTTGCTCATCATGGACAGGTTCTCTCAACCTGTGTTATTCCATCTTCCAGGTCCCTGATAGAAGCTCTAGTATCAGCTCATGCAGTCCACTGGATCTCCCCATAAAGCTCAGCAGACCGTCTCACTAACCAGCAGTCTACAGACTGACCAACTTCATCTATCTCCACTCCACCACCAGTTTAAGGCCTGGGGGGGAAACAGCCCTATTCTTTGCTTCTGTTCATGCATATCTATCAATATTCAGCGCTATGTTTCCTGCTGAGGTCTGAGCACCAAAGACAAAGTAAATGTATCGATTAATTTCTTCCAATTGTCTTTTCTCTTCAGGTGAGTTTTTCAGATTGAACTTAATGCAGTCATAAGGTTTTCAGAAAGTGATCTCCTGAAAGGTCTCCTAAAGATCTAGCATCAGTAAAAATTGATAACTACAATACACAACATACACAATACACTTGATAAATTTGCTAGAAATAAAAGTTACTCAATCCCTAAACTAATATGTTAAAATTGATTTAAGCTCTAAAATCTCAGAAAATTCCTGTACTTTATAAAGCAGGATGACAGCACACATACCTGGCTGACCAGGAGGTCCTGGAGGACCTCTATAACCATCTCCTTTGCTGCCTTTTAGACCTCTTTCCCCGCTGTCTCCTGTGAACATAAACAGTGTTTGAAACATTTATAACTTCAGTTCAACAAGTTTCTAAAGCAGGTAAGAGATTTAATGTTCACACCTTTCAAAAAAACTCATGTTTAATCTTAAGGTTTTAAAGCAAGTGAGGCTGTCAGTAATTCTTTTGTCAAACAAAATCAGGAAAATGTAACAATTTCACTTGATATCAATACGATATGATTAACAACATTTTCTAATAGATGGATGAATTACCAAAATCTGAATAGCTGATACAGATTTAAGGGGGAAATATGGAAGCAACAACTTAAAAAACAGAAAATCTAGTTGCATTATCAGAACTTTCAGAAATAAATTATCTTTATTATTTAATACATAGAATATTCGAAAAGAAACCAGAGAACAACAGGAAGTTTCTAATAGTTATTTTACTCCGTTATAATGAGGAATATGCACAGATGAGCTAAATCTGTCCTATTTGTAGGTTCTCGTTTTAGTTTAAAAACATGTCATATCAAACCTTTGATGCCTGCGGGACCCTGCATTCCAGGGGGTCCAGGGTAGCCTGGAGCACCACTTCTTCCGGGGTATCCTGGAGCTCCCATAGACCCTTTTGGACCTGGTGCTCCTGGCTCACCTGGTGGTCCCTTCACGGTTTGGCAGGATTCGCAGCTTGCTTGGAGGGAAAGGCTCTGGAGCATTGCTGGGAGTTGGTCTGAAGGGTACATCAAGAATAAGATAATTTATTTTGGTATCAGGTGTTACTTTAATAGGTATGATGAGGATATAATCTAGAAACAAAAAGGTTATAGAAAAGCATGGAAACAGAATTTTTGGAAAGTTCGTCGTTTCAAAAAGGCCCAGTAGATGATGAATCAGTTGGTCTTTCCATTCAAGTTTGCAAAACTGCTGAGTCATTAAAAATTTACCCCCTTGGTTAAATCAATCACCCATTGACATACCTGACCATTTGGTCACATAAAAAGATAAAAGCATTCCTATAGCTTAGACTGAGAGGTTTATAAATACACACTAGTGGTGCACCAAATGGAAAACACCATGTTGTGTTGCCACCTTGGATTAAAGTACCGGTAGCTGAAAGGGGGGAAATTTTTTTACCTGTTTATAAACTTGTATTGTCCATAAAGGAGGAGGAGTATGAAACATGAAAAGACAACAGGAGATCAGTCTACTTGCCCTTTTCTGACCATTCATGCTCTATGTAACAGAGCACTGATAAAGTCAGCATAACTTAAAAATGACGATGTCTCAAAAACAAAAAAGGCATAAACAAAAGATTTATGGCATAAATATGCACTGATAAAGCACTAAAAAGTAGACCACTGTGGTTCAATTGGAAGACTAATTGAGGGGATGGTTGACCTCGAAAATGACCTAGAAAATAATCTTTAATATCTCTGAGACAAAAGTAGCAAAAATTATCATTTTTACTGCACTAATTAAGCACCAAAAATTCCGTCTCCTTGGAGAGCTTTTTTCCTATGGCCGGGGTGTCAGCTCCACAAAGCTTAGTTAGTGTGGTGTCTTGCTGTGATGTGCGGTGGTTATTTTGTTTTTACAAGGCTTTTTGCCATACTTCTTGACTGACCAGATGTTCCCCATGTCGCCTTGAACTTGCAAACAGCTTTCTTTCACTGATTTTTCTCTGTCTTTTACTGTTTTTTTTGGCTCTTCTATCAAATTCAAAATATCAAATCAAAAATATCAAAAAGAATGGAAGCTGATTTTTATGTCACCAAAGGGTAACAAGTATGTAGTGCACGGCACTGATAGCAAAAGAAGTCTCCCTATGAGTGTCGGCCAGTAAGGGAGCCATGGACGTACTCTCCATCCAACACTCTACCCTCAGAGTGAGGATGGGGAGTTGGATTTGCCTTTTCAAAGGTAGGTAAACAGAATTAAAACCATACATACTGCGGAAAACATCAGTACACAGCTTAAGAAGATGTTCATCTGAAGGAGTTTTGCCCTGAAACAAACATGTACACCATAGGTCAAGTGACAAAGGCAGAAAATTAAACACAATTTCATCTTGTTTGTAATTATTTCTTTATATTAGCAGGAACTTTTTGACACACACACACACACAACAGAGCT